GTCCTTCCAAATATATGACCCTATAGATAAGAATTTATTAAGAAATCTATATAAATCATATGACTAGTATTGTTGTATTGTTGCAACCCTTTCATATGATGGCACAATATAAGCCTATACTAAAATATTCCAGAAGGTACATCAGAGAATCCCTCTGTTATAAGTCTCTCTGAGTGTTGATGACAGAGTGCAAGGATTGCCATAAGTGTGTTAAACACAGCTAATGACTCTTTTATCTTGCTGAAAGGGTTGACATCTTCCTGTACCACACACCATGAAACACGCTTTGTAATGTAAGCATGGGATTAGGACTATATTCAACTTACTGGTGCTCCACCATTGCTAGTTACAGTGGGTTTTCCCTGCGCCAACTGGACAATGAGTTGCTCCTGATCACCATTTTGGAGTTGAATCTGAAATTTGGGCAATAAGCAACTTATGAACTAAGGTCATGTACATACCTGGAATCTCCTTTCTATATCCTTTTATGGTGGCAAAAGTTTAATATGATAGAGGTATTGATCATCAGTTTGCCCTTCTTGTGTCCAAGAGATGGTTAGTCTATTGATACCAATAAATGTAAAGCTCTGAAAGCATACTAGTATATAATCATTTGCCTTTTGGATTCCAAGTCTCTGGCAATGGAATATTCTGTTTTCCTCTCTCGTGGCTGCAGATCTTGTTCTCCAGGCTCCACATCCGAGTCTGAGTCCGATTCTTCATCTGATTCTCCATACTCTTGATCTGTCTCTCTAGCCTGCGGAGCTGTAGCAGGTCGGGTAGTAGGCCAGGTAGCAGGGCGGGTTGCAGTCCACTTGCCACACTCGAGGCTGATCCGAATATATTTAAACTCTGCCACTCCTGCCAATATCTTCGAATTGGTCATTTTGAAGCCGTCCATATCCTCAGCCTTGTATTCCAAGTGGATGGAACCTTCAACGTCACTGGATCCCTCAAAGACATCATTGAGAGTGAATATATGATAGTATTTGCAATTGGTGGAACTTTGCAGAACTGATGGCACAGGCTGGAGGTGGAGGTACCGCTCTGGCTCATTCGACTCGGACGACGACATGCTGCGGCTGCTGGCACTGGCAAGCTATGTCTGAAAGGCCGTCTTATATACTCGGTGCACAGCCCCCAATAGGACGCGTAATCATTGTCTGTTGGGAGTCAGACATGCCCCCACAATCCTATTGTCCCACACGAGTTGTGTAATGCAAGCGGGGCTGTGTTATGATGACTGGAATCACACTAGGATGTCACTGCCATTGCCAGTGGGCGTGCGAATGGTCAAGCGTCGACAGGAGGACACACACACACACACACACATGGCCGCCCCGGGCCGGCGCCACTTGGTCCGTGGAACATGGGATGCGCAACTATGAACTGTAACACGTTGCTGGTGGCTACGCAGGCACTGGCGGGTGTGGCCAACAGCGCTGTCACCGCGGGACGAACAAGGCCATCAGTCAAGCACTGGCAGCCGCTGGAGCAGTCTCTACGCCCGCGTTAGCTCTGCGTCCGCCTATTGTCACAGAAAGCCGAGGGGGGCGACGATGCGGAAGGCATCGTTCTCGGGATAGTGAACGGGGCCGACCGTCGTCGAGGTCTTCGCCGTGGCCCGGCGGCGTGGACTGGGAGAACAAGTCGGGAGTGCAAACTGGAGGGGCCAACGAGCGACAGACAAGCTTTAGCGACTCCGGAATGGAATGTCATCGAAGATGGCGTCGTTGAGTTCTTGGGGGCAGGGCCGAGCGCGGAGTGTGGAGTGCACACCGCCATGTGGTCAAGAACAAGTGTGAAGGCAACACCGCGGCTGCCGTCACAACAAGTGCGACATAAACGCCGGAGACCGGCAGAGAGAGCCACACGGCGGCACCAGGTTCTAGGCGACGGGCCAGAGACATCGACGCGGACTTGCGCGTCTGGGAATGGATGGGATGTCAATGCGGTAGACTCGAGCCAGTCGTTATTGGTGTGACAACTAATAACGACTGGAACAGAATAACCGTTGGCTAGGGAGATCGGCGTTTCGGGCGTCGAATTTCTGGCCCGCCGAAATCGACCTTGTCAGATCAGTAAAAATTTTGTACCAGTCGATAGCCAGCAGAATTCTAAGACTTGCTATGTTTTTATTTTCATGAAAAACTCAAAACTGCGTGTGCTATAAAGTAATCTTTAGCCCACCAACACCGTCACCCTGTGACACTGCTGTCGGGCGCGGAGCATCGTTTCCATATTAGGATCGGCGCCGGTCGGCCGGGTATCATAGATTACTTCGTAGCACACGTAGTTTTGAGTTTCTCGCGAAAATGAAAACATAGCGACCCTTAGAATTTCACTGGCTATCGACTGATACAAAAACCAAAAAGACCTGAAAGATCCAAAAGACTCAAAAGACACTAGGTCTTTCCAAGACAGCGTCCTGGTCTTTGGAAAGACCTTAGGTTCTTTGCAAAGACTCCCATAAAGACTTGATAAAAGACCATGAAAGATGCTCTAGTAGTGTTCAGGATGCAATGAATGAAAGAAATAATAGATTCATAAATGACTACATATACATACTACATACTACAACACATGTCCCAAGCTGTCGACTTCCCCGCCCACCCTGCACCCAGTTTCACACCGATGCGCACCAAACTGCAGCGTCGAGCGCGAACGACGTGTCGCTCCCAACGCTGCAAGTCTCAGCCCGAATGGGCAAGCGGCTGTCTCCCGCCGCCCGCTCCCCACCCACAGGCCTGAGCTCGGCCGGACGAGGCCAGTCATGGCCCGCTCGTGGCCGGTTCAGCCCCAGACCTGACCTACGGCCCGCCCGATTGCATGGCATCAGCCGCCGGCGGGAGGTGGGAGGCCGTGGGAGGACACGGCACCGCGGAACCTGCGACAAGAAGGGATGTGGCGGTGGAGGTGGAACGTTATACCTAAAAAATACACGCGCTGAGCAAATTGAATCGAGAAACATGGTAAATACACTCACCGGAAGAGGATGGGAACAGCAACAGCGTTGGCTCGCGGCCTCAACTCGGGCGCGCGCTGTCGTAAAGCCGACACACTACTGTTGCCAGAAAACGGCAGTGGCGCCGCTCATTGCCAGTCTGAGGCGGATTCGAGGACGTGATGCCAGTCAGTGTTGCTCTGCACCACATGTTGCAGACTCACCAGATGTGGACGGGGCACCGTTCGGAGAGGGGAAGGATTGGGGAGGGGAAGGAAGGGGAGGGGAAGGAAGAAAAAAGCAGATGTGTGACAGTGTGCGGAGCGATTGACATCGTCCGTGATGCTACGGACCATACCCGGCCGGTTTGTCATTGCACCTTCGTCATCACCCTCGGCTCGGACTTAGCACATTTCATCGAGTAAACAGCCTGCATGGAAGTTATGAAACATTCATGTGGATGTTTAGGATTGAATGTAAGTAGTATATATTTGGTTATTGCTTGAATTTGTCCTTAGATTTCTCTCCATAGAAATGTAAAGTTGTAAACAATGGGCTTTTGTTTATTCACTCTATTCAAAAAGTTCTAAGCCTGCATATGTTCTGATTTCTGTCTCTCACCAACTTCTTATTATTGAGCTATAGCACAATATCTCTAACCCAATATATATGCATATAAAGTACTTTCTCAAAAAGACCATTCTTAAAAAAAGACCAATCTGAAAAAAGACCAAAGATCAGAAGGCAAAGACCAAAGACCTACTCCCAAAGACCAAAGATCAGAAAGACCTACTCTCAAAGACCAAAGACCCTCCCCAAAGACCAAAGACCAAAGACCTGAAAGACTTTCATGCTATTTTACTGGCAGTCCTCCCCACTCAGGCACTGGCCGGGGCCCGGCGATAGACTGCTTGTCTGTCTGTGCCTTTGCCGAGGTGGAGCGCGGCAGCGGGATCGAGTGGTGGGTTTCGTTCAGAAAACACAGCAAGAACGGCGGTCACGGTACCGGTGGAAGAAACTTTCAAGAAAGACCAGAGGTACTTGACGACTGCGGTAATGTAGCGCCAGATGGAGTACTAGTACTTATGGTGGCACACCGCGCAGGAGCCCGGGACAGCCAACTTCGAGTTGAGGATACTTCGGTGGAGCGCCGATGGACGCTGTTGAGCAGCCAACGCGGCTGAGCACGGAATCACGTCACGTCAGCAAGATGACGCACCTCGGGATCACGCGCATCAAACGCGTTCACGCGCACGACGGCGACGCGTCGCCGCCCGACTGACTCATCGGGCGCGGCCCCGGAACTCGGTCTGACTCGCCCTTGGAGTCATTTCTTCTATTACAAGTATATAAAAGGCATGTATCACATAGTTAATGCAAGTTTTTGCTTCCCCACGTTTATGGTATAAAGTCCCGCGCCTTCGTCGTCGCGCTCGCCCCGCTATCGCTTAGTCATCATGGCCTATGTCGATGCCATTGCCCCCACCTCACCTCCACACATCTTCTATTTCCCCCAGAGCCCTGGGTATGGACAACCCTCGCACACACACACTAGCAGTTTGATCCCAGAGGTGTTTATGCACATTTTGTTTTGTGTAGCTCGCGCCTCTGGTCGCGTCAGCAGCGCATCAACGCAAGATGGAAGGGTCATGGCGGTCTTGAAAATCGATGGTGGTGGTTCTGAACAAGAAGCGATGCTGTGATGTCGCATGATGATCGCGCGAGCACGTGCTATCAAAGCTGGTCCGTGCGCCGTCGATCACGCGCCACGTGGTCCCTTCTCACGCCCGCCACGGCTCTCTTTGCTTCCTTCCAAGCTTCCTTCCCACTGTATGTCTGCCGCCCTTGTTTGTCGCGGCGGCCCCACATACGACGATGGGAACGAGCAACGCGAGACAAGGCGGGTCGCGACCGTGGCGACAAAGAACAAGGCGGCCCTTGTTCTTCGGCGCGCCTACTTATAGTCTGCCAGCTCGCTGCAGTACGCTGCGCTGCGGTGGTGTGACGCTACTTCCATCACCACCAGCGCCGACAAGACACTCCTTTGGTTTTACTCATGGCATACTGGACGACGAGCGGCGCCTACTACTACGCCGCTGCTGGGACCACGTGGCCGCCGCCCGGGTACGCGTATAGGTGCGCACTTCCTCGGCTCTGACTCGCGGAATGCTGACCAGCTCAGTACGCCCTATGTATGGTCCGCGTGCGCCGGCGCATACGCGTACGGCGCGGCGTCGGCCTCCAGCACGGGATGGACCAGGCCGGCACCGCCGATACCGCTCGCGTACTACGGGCAGCCTCCGCCCGCCAGCGCGCCATTGCCAACACCCGCCGCACAGCCTGTATGGATGGCGCCGTACTATGACCAGCCGGCGCCGCTGCCAATCCCAAGGCCGCGGTCGGCCGCGCCGGCCGCGCCTACCATCCCAGCGTGGGCAATGGAGACCGGGCCGCCCCCCGGGAGCGCACCGGCGTGGGCCCGGAGTGCAGGATCTGCGGCTTCAAGCACGTGGCCGGACGATCCCTTCACGCCGCCGCCGATGACCGCGCCGGCCCGGTCACATGGGTTCGGGTCTGACATCCACAGGCCGCCGGCGCAGGGGCATCGGACCAGCCCGGGAGGGACGTTCTTCTCCCCGCCGCCGCCGTACGCAAGGAGAGACCCCGCAGAGGAGGATGAAGAAGAAGACGAGTTTGGAGAGGTGTTTTACGACGAGGATGAAGAGGGAGATCACCGGGGCGGATTCGGCGGTGGAAGACAACCGTCGGGCCCCGATCCCTGGGGATCCGCAGCGGCATTCGGGCCAGCGCCGGGGCCGTCCGGAAGCAACGGGGCCTGGGGCTTCGGCGCTCCCGGGCCGGCAGCTGCACCGGGTGCGCAACCCGGACCCCGGCCGCGCGCGTACTCTTTCTCCGGCGCGACCGCCCCCGCCTTCGCGCCGCCGCCGGGCGTGTCGGCCCTCACCCGGGCTCAGTACGCATTTATGTGGTCGCGGTTCGCACACCCATCCGCAGCGCCTGCCCCTCACGCGCATTCCCCACCGATGGCCTGGCCGGCTGGCCCCGTGATCCCGTCCCCGCCGGTCTCCCAGCCAGCGGCGCTCCCCGCGCAGCACAAGTTCGCGAAGCGGCCGTCGACCCGGAGCTGGTGGCCGCGCTGCCGCAGCAAGTCGCGCGAAGGGGGCCGCGGCACCTGGATGCGCCAGGAATGAATGATGTGGAGGATCGCGCAAGCGAGGACTTGTGGGTGAACAGACAGAAGTGGAAACAACCACTACACTATGCGATTATGAATGGACTGCTATGAATATATGTTATGCCTATGGACCATTTGTGAGCCGTCCCGGACCAAATTCTGGAATGAAGACACTGGTATGTAGGCACTGCCTGTGTGTTGCACAAGGCTGCTAAGCAAGTCAGAGGAGGATGGACAGTGTGCCATGTATATCCAGTGGACCTTCAGCAGTCAGGACCATGTATAGTGAGAAAAAAAAAATCGTGTACCTGATTGTATCGGCCATCAGCTTCAAGACACAAGATTGTCAAATTTTCACATGACATCGCCCCCTGCCCGCGTCGAACGGGCCATCTGCTTGAGCTTCTCATTCAATACAGTGGCAGTGCAGGCTGCTCAGTGGGCTTCAAGGTGATTCCTCCTGCTGAATCCTGTAGTAGGGAAACAAAGGGGTATTAAGAGTATACCATATCTGGACAATATCAAAATGTGTATTGAACTGACTATGACCTAAAACGAGACATCGATCAGTTCCGAATTGCCCACTGTCCGCATTGAACGGGCCATCTGCTGCACCTTTCCAATCCAATGCAAATAAGTTGCAGATAGGCACAGACTGCCTGGTAGGCTTCCAGGTGGCACATCTCTGCACCCCATATGTAGATACTAGATATTTGCAGTGTTGATATACACCCAAGAGACAGCATATTGGCCTCAATTAAAATAAAAATGTTTAAAATGAACTGTGTACCAGATTAGATCTCAGACACTGGCCATCAGCTTCAAAACACAAGACAATCAAATTTGCATAAAGAATTGCCCCATGTCAAATTGGCCACCTGCTGCAGCTTCTCATGCAAGATGGTTGCTACAGCCAGCCAGTGATGAGCCTTGTCACAAGTGTCACATGATCGTGGTGCTTAGTCATCATACATATCCAGTAGTAGCCTTATTTTAGTGTTTCCTTGTGTTTCTGCTTGTACGGGCAACTCTAGAGGCCAGAAATTGGGGTCTCAGCAGGGCAGGATCCAAAGAGAAGAAACTCTCAAGGGTTCACCTGCTAGGTAGCTAAACTATATACAGTACATAATGTCATATGGAATAATGCTGGGCCCAAACCCTATTCCATATCATGATTATTCCAGGAGACAAAAAATGAAATTTTAATTCGAATTTTCCCAAAAAGGAAATTTATTCTCATGTGCAAGAAAAATATGACGTGATCTGCTGCTGTCTCTTCCCGACTTCCTCCTCGCTTTCTATTGCCCTCCGAAAGCCCCGAAGCTCACTACTGAGTGACAATGCCATCTCCAGATCAGGACGCCACATGACCACCTCTTGCAGCAACCGCACGGCATTGAGGGCTGCTTGCGGTTCGATGACATACTCAGGTTTGTCGTCATCTTGCTCGTCGTCTTCTGATCCCTGCTGGACAAGGTCCGCAATCTCTGCAACTCCCGCATCACCATCCGAAAACACTCGCTCCGAGTCCAAGTCCTCTCGCTCAATCTCGGGGTCAAGGAGTTGGTCAATGGTAATGTTCTCGGTGCATATGAGCCGTTCACGCTTGAGTGCATCAAGTGTTGCACTCAGCTCTTTCTCCGCTTCTGCTAATGCCTTGTCATTAGACAACTTCTTGGGCATTGCAGGCTGCACTAGCAGTGTTGACTTGGGCGCTGGCATAACAGCACGGACGGCAGAGACAGCCACCACAGTGTCTTTCTCAGCATCCATAATGGCTTTGAGAGCCACAGTCCAATTGCTTTCCTGGTATGCTGACCCTAATGCTTTCTGTAGTGCCTGCTCACACATTAGCAGCGTCATCGAATCAGACTCTGCAAATTGGAGCAGAATTGGAGCGGTAGTCGCATCTTTGCCGGGTCCTTCCCTTTGATTGGGCACGGCCGGTGGAACTTGCCAATAAACATCAGGGGTTTTTTTTCGGTTCCTGTGGAATTGGCCGCGACCAACACTGACAGATGAAACTTATCTGCCTTCTGGCCAGCAACGGGAGCAGCGCACAGTGTTCGATCAGGTGGGGATGACGGAAAGAAGCTAGTCTTGTCCGTGTTCCAGCGGGCTTCAGGTGAGTACTTGGCGTTAATGCGTATCATTCGCTGCTGCTCGGCCTTGACTGCAGCGAGATCAACAGAGCCGGCTTCGCCGTGGCGCCGGCGCTCGTAAAGAAAATATTTGCAGCGGTGTTTAGGGAAAAGAAATGCAGAACAAGGCTGGCACACACCTTTTCTTAAATGACTCCATCTACCCTGTTCCAGTGAGTCATTGTTCCTCCGGAATATTCAATGCCTTCTCAAACCGCTTTCGCTGCTCAATCAGCATGGGCCCAGTTACTGAATGGCGCTTTCGTTCTTGATCTGCAACCCACATGCCCAGCACAAGATCAACTTCTGGGGAAGTCACAACTCGGGCCCGCTTTTGGTCGAGTGCTGTTCGGGTGGATGCCACCTGCGCACGAATTGCGTCTTGAACCTTTAACTTCTTTGACAGTGCGCCTTGGGTAAACTGGAGCTTCCCGCCCTCGGCATCACACCGAGTGGCAAAGTGCTTCGCAACAGCAGTCTGTGATGCTCCTGGATGCAGCTCGATGTAATCAAACACCTGGATCCAGTCGCTGAAGGTAAGATGTTGTCGTTTATTGTCTTGTTTAAATCTTGCCGTAGTTTTTGGAGCATCTCGTGGCTTGGGGCCTGGCTTGGCCATCGGCTTGCTAGAAGGCTTTGGCTGCGTGTTCTTGCGGATTTTGGTGTGTCTTTAGTGATAGTCATAATAATTGTGTAGTAAAAATTATATATATGTCCTTATATATATAAATTCCTTGCCTGGTGCATTGTATGGAGCAAAGCACACCAACAAAGCACAGACTTATTGTCATAAACTGTGGAATAACTATACTGATAGGCTATTCTATATTCCAGAATACAAATCGTAGAATAATCAGTTGTCCTAAGTTGGGAAGTGCAAAAACTCATTCCAAGCCATGATTATTCCATAGTAAATAATTCCATGTAAGATAATCAACTATACTGTACTCTTAATGTGCCAAGTGTGATTGTTCTTCCGTTGTTTATTCAAAGCTAGAAACATTAAAGCCTCATTCTTCTAAGACATGTTTGAGTTTCTTAGGCTCTCTCATCTTTTGTTGTTTTTTATGCATAGCTGCTGTAGCACTGTGACCTACTATTATAATAAAATTAGCTGAAAGTTTGTAGGTGGGTTCCTACCTATGAGGGCCACATTCTGTTAGCATACCTACCAATTCCACTTATACTGTGCATCAACTGTACATTACTGTGCAAACTGTGTATTGACTGTGTATTGACTGTGCATTGATTGTACATTGACTGTGTAAACTGTGCATTTGACTGTGCATGCAGGAACAATATAGTTTAGTAATAAACTCTTGACTTGGTTTCAACTATGCCTTAACTGGTATTGTTTGATATTTAAGTGTTGTTGCACAAACTAAACTGAATCCTAAACACATTCTTGGGGTCAAGGAACTGGTACATGTTGAAAAAACTTCTAGAGCTATAAGAAAGTATGTTGAGTGGCGATAGGGAAGTTTCTAAGTTGCTCGGGACTAAACACATTCTTAGGGTTAAGGAACTGGTACAGGTTGAAAAAACTTGTAGAACTATAAGAAAGTATGTTGAGTAGCGATAGGGAAGTTTCTGAGTTGCTCGGAAACGCTGCTAGCGGCGCTGGGGGTGTTAGATGGCATGAGTAGAGAAACCTTGAAGGAAAAGTAATAGGGAGAAAAGTAGCTAGTCGGATTCTACGGAGTGGATGGTTTTAAAAGGGGGAGAGACGGCCTGCATTCATAACCTGCATTTGTAAAACCACTAGTCGTCGAAACGACAAGAGGCTGCAGACACAAGGGATAAGCTGAAAGGAGTTAGTGGAGCATACACACAGATGGAAGACAGAGAAACCTGAAAGGGTGCAGGAGAAGATGTCAGGTACGAGAATGTTGAATAAACTTAAAAAGGCAACTAGAAGGGTGAAGATTTCACCCTAAACATGGACAGTACAGGATACAAATATAAGCAAGTCTAGGATTCCCAACAATCACAAGCAGAGTGAGGAACACAGCAAGATTCACAAAGTGGGGGATTCCTATAAAAAGCGTGTCAGCACAAACGGACAACACGGAAGCAAGTAGTGGATAGAGAGCTAAATACTACACCTATAGGTGGAGCTATAGTGGTAATATACAGCTTAAATTCAGAAGCTACAGTATAGGTAGTCCTTTTCTAAATATCTAGCTACAGCTTAGCTCTATAGCTTAGTAGTTGCTTCTAACTGCTTTTCTAGCTATTGCTTAGCCTAGATAGAGATGTCACATATTTTACAAAAGCTTGTTTAATTTTTATTTAGGTTCTCTTCAACTTAATTATCAAAATTAATACCCTTTATAAGAAATATCATTGATGTGAAACGATTTTTGATTGCCATCAATACATCTGATGGTCACATGAAGCTACATCATTTCTATCCAAAATAGGAAAGTTTATTCTCACAGCCCACCTAACATTTAACCGGGTCATCGGCCTGAAGCAAAGGAGTTAGCAGTACTATATATAGTAATATCTTAGTCATAGACATCAAATTGATACATCAGTACTGATCTTTGATAATTATATTATAAGACTTTAGGCAAATTGGCTAGCAATTGCTAATAAACTAGAGCTTGAAATTTAGGAAAGCTCTGCCCTAGCTACTGCTTAAAGCTTAGGCTAAATACTACACCTATGGGTGGAATAAAAGCACACTCGACGGGAGAACCGGGACCATCCGACAAGCTGGTTTCTTCTTCTTCATCCAACGGGGTCCAGAGCGAGCCTGCGCAGTCAAAGACTTGCCAGCAGGCACATCAACAGTGCACTTCGAGGACGCGGATGTCATGTTCAATATGAGCAAGTCGTCGATGTACCGTGGCAGCAGCAAGATGAGTGG